AAATCCTGGCTCTATGCAAGTCAATGGGAGTCTTGCCATTGATTTCAATAGAAAATGAGACTTGAAGAGTCATCAAGTCTAGACAACTGAGTCACACTCCCTTTCAGACATGTTTCTATCTCCATCATTTTGGTTTCTTTTTCTGCCTCCTTCTATTAGAGGGCCCTCCCAAAGCCTCACTCTTCTGGTGGTCAGGAACCTTCTGATTTTCAGCTTGCATTTATCCATGGTAATTTATACAGACTTATTCTTTTAACAGTGGTGTCCTTTAGTTTTAATACACCATTGTCCCTTCTGTTGACCATTTAATACACCATTTTCCCTTGATGGTTATAGATGGCAACCATATCCCCTCTCTAAGCCTGCATTTTCTTAGGATAAACAAAGATAGGTCTTTTAGGGCACCTCTCTCCCATTTCTGCACTCCTTCAGGGTGTCACTGAAAAGCACACCCTGCCTATCTGCTCTGCTCTGAGTGGACCAATGCTGGAAATGTCATTGTGATGCTGCCCTGATGCACCCCCCCCACCCCGCCTCTACTTTGCAGCCGCTCTTAATATCTCTGTCTCTGGTGTGCTTGAGAGCACAGTGAGGGATACTGAGAAGCTTTCTTGCTTGAGTTCTAGGATTGGTATGAAGAGATCAAGACAGGCGGACAGGGCATCCTTCCTTGTGGCATATCTAGGAGTGCAAAATAAGAGGTAGCCTCCTTAGTCTCCTTTCATAAGATAGGCTCTCTGTCACCCAGATCTTTGTAGCAGTCCTTCTCTATACCTATTTCAATTTGAATTAATCTTTCTTGAATAGGGGTGACTAGAACCTAACAGAGTATTTCAGATGTGGTCTCATCAGTGCCTTGGGTGGTGACATCTCTACTGGAAATATTTTGCCTGACACATTCTAGAATCTCATTTGCATTTTTTATGACCACGTCATAGTGATGGCTTTTAGTCATCTTGTGACTGACTAAATTCTCATGTCTTCTTCATATGAATTGGTTCTAAACATAAAATATTTTTACTAAATTCATAACCTTGCATTTTCTCCTATTAAATTTCATCTTGTTTCTATCATTCCAGTCCTCAAGGTCATCCAGTTCCTACTTTAAGCTATTTCAGTCCTCCTCCATACTGTGGCATCCATAAAGTTCATTAGCAGTACCTAAGATTTTCTGCCCAGGTCTTTAGTGAAAATATTGAACATGGTCAGTTTAGATAAAATCCTTGTAGAACCCCACTTTTAAATTCTCCTAAACCTAATAGTTGTCTTTCAGCACAGCCAGTTGTCTGTCTATAATGAGTTCCTTCCCCACCTTACATTTCTTGTAACAATTCTCATTTTCTTCTTAATAATTTATAATTTCCCATGTGGAACTATGTCAGGTTTATTGAAATCCAAATAGATAATATCTCCTGCATTTCCCTTGTCTAAAATATTATTCATGTTATCAAAGAAAAGTATCATGTTAAGCTGGCATGATCTACTATTGGTAAACCCATATTGCGTTTCACCCCATTTTCCATTTACCTCAATGTCTTTAATTAGTCTTTCCGTCAGTTTTTTTTTCTAAAACCTGCTGAGGTTTATTTAATGGGCCTATAGTTACCGGTCACTTTTTTTCTCATTAATAAATATAAGAACTAAGTTTACTGTTCTCCAGTCACCTGCAATATAATAAAGTCATTAAAATTTGTTTCCACTGGATTTGCAATAGCATGTGCCAGTTCTTTCAGTACTCTAGGAAGGAGATTATTTGACCCCTCTGATCTGAATGCAGTAAGCTCCCTAAGCTTTGCTTCCACCTTAGATATGGTAATTTCCTTTTCCCTACCCTTATTTACACTAGCTGCTCTGCCTTTGTGTTCAACAGGGTCCCTATTCAAAAAGTGACTGTATAGACCACACCTAAATTATCTTTAACCCCGTCCTCACTACATGGCAATCCCATTTCTTTTCCTTTCACTTACAGGACTTGTTAAGCATTTCAGTTTCCTTTGCTAAGACTAACTCAGTTTGGCTCTGTAGCCATAAATTCTAGCTTTCTTAGCTTATCAATCCCTTTTGCCATTCTTTGCAGGCTCTTTATTTACTGCTAGTATTCTTTTTGAAGGGGTTCAGTGAAATTATGTATTGATTTAGGTGTAGAGTCCCTCCTTATTTGCTCTTAACCCTTCTTTGGGAGGCAGGTTTCCAATAGATTTTGCACCTTTGACTTGAAGTCATTCTAAGGCTCTTTTACCTTTAGGTCTTTGAATTTGTCAGTACACTTGACTTCACTATCTAGTTCCTTTAACCTCTCAGACTGCAGCCTTTTGAAACTGCTAGTTTGCAACCAATTTTTTTATTCTATTTTATTTAATTTCAACCTATTCCTAGTTTCAGAAGGTACAACTACTAAACACTACACGAGAGGAAAGGCTCTCTGGATATGAGGATAAGAAAAAAAGTTTTGCATTGATGAAACGATGGCAGCATGTTAACAGATCATAATTTTTCATGTCTACTTGGAAGTCTTAAAAAGCAGCATTATGTGGACATGCAACCACTTGAAGCAAATTTAAATTTGGTGTATTGACAATCTTTAATCTATACAGGATGTCTTGCAGAGAAATACAGGACAGAATGCAAATTAACAGGTAACCAGAGTTATTTCTTGAAATCTGGTGGAGTGGAAAAAGATCTGTGTTGTACCAACCCAAAAGGAATACAGGATGGGAAGAAGTCTAAAATGCCAGCAATGCACACAGAACACAGAGAATTAATAGTATAAATGACACATGAGGAACCATAGAGGACTGCAAAATTAATCCTGATTATATGTAAATTACTGAAAAATGGTGGAGATGTTTTCACTTTTCTTGCTGTTATAAATTGCTTGCTTTTTCAAAGGGTTAATACTGTGCACTATAATCAACTGACTAGTGTTTTTTTGTATTACTGCCCTGTCCTGTACAGTAACAGAATTATAAAACTGTGCATCCTACATCTATATTGCTAATGGAAAGACTCCTTTAATGAGTGATTTAAGGCCTGTGTTTTTAGAGTAGTGGTCTACATTTTAGAGTTTAATGTCTACAGTTGCTGAAAAGTTCCAGAGCAGCCACAGAATGAACTCTTGTAACAATCATCTGTAACGGAGGCAGTGGCCGGCAGCAAGAAGGGCTATGTTCACATTTTGGGGTACCCCATAAATTATACTAGTGGCTCAAGCCCCCACCCAGAAATCTGGGAACACTGGATTTGCTGGGGCATCCCATAGACATTAAAGGAACTTGATAGTGAAGACAGGTGTACTGAAGAATTCAGGGACCTAAAGGTGAAGGAGCCTTTTTAGCCAGTCACAGCTATACCACTGTGCTGAGACACTACAGTTACAAATCAGAGGGGGCCAGGACCCATCATTCCTGGTCAGTCTGTTCCTTACCATAATACCATATCCCTATGTTATTATGCCACTCAAGGCCTGTGTGGCCAAAACTGCCAGCAAAACTGCCAGGACTCCATTGCTGATCAGGTGCTCCAAGGATTAATACCCCCATGGTATTATCCCACTCAAAAAAAAAAAAAAAAGGTGGGGGTGGGGGTGGAAGAGGGAGGTCAAACTCCAAGACAGACTTTCTCTCTCTGTACCCAAGGCTTCTCTTTTACATAGCTTTTGCTTGCCTCTCCAGTGAAGAATGAATTAGAAAATGAAGATACACAGTTCTTCATAGTAACTCAAATGGTAACTACTGCTGTATTTCTTCTGGGTAGTTCTAAAATTGCAGGAGCTGGGTAGTTAACAACACAGTACAGTAACACATGGCTTGTAATTCAATGACTTTTGGCTTAAGGTGCATAAAACATTAGAAGTAAACCCACAACTAAGTGTTAAACTACAGGAGGTTCTAGTATTCTTTTTTTGCTAATGGAATTGTTTCACTTTGAAGCCTCAGCAGTGATGTCACTGCAACAAGTATAGATACCAGTTCAGATCCTGCAAACATAGTATTATTGTCAAAGGCAAAACTAAAAAAAATATATTTTTAAAACTGGATTCCCAAACTCATGAGAAAGAAGTCATGGGTTTTTTTTGTTGTTTTTTCTGTTCTAATTCCCCTGCTCTTCCACAGTTTTTGCAGACAGTCACAGTGTTGACAAATCTGGTAGATTTGTATTGAATAAGGGACTGCGGGAGCACTGATTAGTGGATCTACCTGCTATCTGATCATTATTTTTCAAAGACTATAAAGGATCCTTTCTCTTGAGTATTTGCAAACTAATGCAAAGAGCTGTAATGACTTTTTAACAGCAAGGCAAGAAGCAGGACTCAAACCAACCAACTCCTAATGGGGTTACTACATTTCCATTCAATAGGACTAATTTTTCAAGTCAGCTGAACTAAGGCAAGATTCCAGCATTGCTAACTCTTATCCTTTTTTCCAGTCTCTCATGATAAGTGATGATTTTCTCTTGAAGTCCTAGCTACTGCATTGCCTATAGGGAACTCAGCTCATAAAAAAGAGAGATGTTTCTAGACCTTATTCAAAAGCTTGTCTAACTTTATCCCAACTACATCATTGGCCCAATAAAAGAAATCACCCTAAGAAATCCTTAGCTCTTGCATAATTTCTGGGCCATCACAGCTACAACATCACTCTTACACTACCCTAGACCCTATGGCAGAGGGGAAAAAAAGTCTGAAAACCTGTCCAAAGTGCACCCTACAGGCTCAAAGAAGACAACAGACAGCTCCAATTGATTTGAGTTTTTGATCATTCTTTTTAAAGGCATGACTTGTAGGAGAATCTGCTTTGTGAATGTTCAGGAGTCATTTGGAGGGGGCCAATGCTCCATTTACCTTTGCATGAGTGGGACAAACCCATACACTAAACCTCCCGTTGCCCTGGAAAGCTATTTAATCGTCCAGCAAAGGTGCCACAGCTTAGAGAGGCTCTACCCCAGCAGCAGTGAGAAAACTACATTACCCAGACTACCCCGCGGCTCTCGGACTTCCTGGAATGCTCACATGACTTGTCGGCTGCACCATGGCGGAAGCAGAGGAGAAGGTAAAGGCTGGGCCAATGCAGTGAGATTGGGAGCGGAATAGTGAGGGCCTCAGTGCTTGCTGCGGGGCAGCTCTGGGGAGGGGGAGAGGGAAACCTGATGCTTCTGGCCTCTGATGCAGTAGGAGAGGGGAGGAGAAGAGAAGAGAGGAGAGGAGAGGAGCGGAGTAGGGCTGGGGAGGGCTTTGGGGAGCAGCAGCCTCATGAGGCTGAGTTAAGGGGGTGAGGGGAGGAGTGACAGGGGCTGGGAAGGTTGGTGGGAGCAACGGGAGCAGGAGGGGGAGAGTAGGACCAGCAGTGGAGAGAGGAATGGGGGTTGTTCTTAGGAAACAGGGACTTTGATCACCAAAGCAGGGGCACAGGGACAACAACAAAAAAGTAGAAGCTGGTCAGTTGCAACTCTACATCTGTGCTTTGCATGGGGAAGCATGGCAAGTTGAGGCTGGAAGCCTGTTGGTCTCTTGCAGATGTTTCCATTCAGCCTTTCAGTGGTACCCCAAGGCCTCTTTTTTTTTTTTTTTTTTGGTGCCCCAAACAAATGGAGGGGTTTAGGTGGTAGCCGTGTTGGTCTAAGGATATAGGCAGACAAGGTTCCTTGGGTGAATTTGATAACTTTTATTAGACCAACCCAAATGGTTGGAGAATAGTTATTAAGCAAGCTTTCGGGTTCAAAACCCCTTCGTCAGGCTCAGGAAGCTGCAGCAGTTGGTGTGTGCTCTTCCTGGATGGAATGAAAAGTAAACCAGCCAGGGACTGGGCGGGGCTGGGCTGGGCTGGGGAGTCAGTTGCCAGGCAGATTATAATGTATCAAAAATCCAATGTCTATGTTTAGTCCCTGATCTCTAGTATCCAGCAGGTTGATGAAATAGAGCTCATAGGCTCGTCTCTGGGATGTGTTGTGTAAATTTCCCTTGAGGATCAGGACTGAGAGATTGGAGAGAGAGTGGCCCTCCTGTGAGAAATGTGCCCCCACCGGTAGTTGGGTGTTTCTGTCTTTGATGGATTTCCGGTGTGCATTCATTCTGGTGCGCAGTTGTTGTCTGGTCTCTCCTACATATCTTCCATCAGGGCATTTGGTGCATTGGATGAGGTATACTATCTTCCTATGAGGAAGATCTTTTTAAGAAAATCCTCAAAAAATTGCAACCCATATTAGAAAAAGACCCTATTCTTAAAAAGATCTTCCCAGAGCCACCCATCCTAGCCTTCAGACAAGCACCGAACCTCGCCAACCTCATCACCAGAAGCAAACTTCCTCAACCCCAGAACACACCAAAAGGATCCAGACCGTGCCATGACAAGAAATGCAAAACCTGCCAACACATCTCCACCACCCC